CACCGAGACTTTAGCAATATTCTTCGCAACAACCTATATATAGAGAGAGTTACGTATTTTTTCAACGCATGTGTACAAACAATAAGATTGGGAACAAGTCTGTTTAAATAACACTACTTTAAATACGAAGCGCTACGGTCTGAGTGTGAGATGTTGAACTAATATATATATTCATATGAATCAATTTCAGAAATGATAATTACATGCCGATATGGTTATCAGACTTTCAACGCAATTAATCTGAAATATTAATAATCCCTCCAAATTTCCCAAATTAATCTTAAAAAATTGTAATAAACGAAACAGGGCGCTTGATAGCGGTGTCGTCAAACATGGAGGCGAAGTTGACAGTTTATTTAGAAGTCTGCGCATATATATTATATATATATATATACACACATATATATATACATATATAAGTTCAATATGTCAACACTCAGCCGTAGTAGCGCTTCGTATTTAAAATAATGTTACTTAACATAAACGGTCTTGTTTCCAATCTTATTATTTTATAAAATGTTTAAATTAATTGTCATCATAACACATTTTACTACAAAATTTATCAACATAAGATTGATATTGATCAAATAATTTTACAAAAAAAAAATGGAAATAAAAAAGAAACAAAAAAAATTGTCGTCGTAAAAAGAATTTATCAATAAAAAAGTTTTCATATAAAAACATATATAAATATTAATAAATTCATAAATATATACATAAATATATATAGTAATAATTTTTACAATTCATTCTTACTAAAGTTAAATCAAGTTTGAAAAAATGAGAAAAAATTGTCATACTCGTATATATATTTACATATATATGTATTTTAAATTTTATGTACAAGATGTTCTTTAAGTACATTTTCTTTAAGTCATTTTCAAGGAGGTAATTTTTTAATTTATTTCAAGAAAAAAAGTACATATAAACAAGTCCTAAACGGTAACGGTGAAGCAAGGCAATTTATGCAGAATAATATCCCCAATGCAATTTATCATATCGTCGAACGTTTGCGAACATTCAGCGATATCTTCGAGAAAAGTATTCTTTTATAAAGGGGGGATACTATCGAAGGTCTGTGATATTTAGGATACCAAAACTACAACAAATGTTTTTAATAATAAAATCAAAGCACATCCAGAAACGAGCACAAGGAAAATAGCTAGGACTTTTTTTGTTTGAAATGAAATGAAAAATATGTAAATATATGTAAATATATATGGCAATTTTATCCTATTTTGTCAAACTTAACGTTAATAAGAATAAATTGCAAAAATTAATCTTTTAATTTTGTTCATGTTTTTTATTATTATTTTTTGTATCGAACAGAATAAGTGCTTCAAAAGAAATTAACACATGTATATACATATGTATATAGATATATTTATATATATTTACATATATATTAATATTTATATACGTTCTTATATAACTTTTTATCGAAGTATAAATTCTTTGGTAAGTTTTTTGTAATTTTCTTTTTTATTATACTAGTTTTTTCTCTTTTGCAAAATTGTTTAATTAATAGCAATGTGAATATTTATATAAACTAGGAATATAAACTAGGAGTGAGCATTTCATGTGTGATATGGATATCCGCGGAATCTCTCGATCTTCACTCATGTGCAACAAATGATTAACGAGCTCGACTAGGATTCCCTGGTATTCCAAGCACTAATGCAAATCTGCTACAATCAAAAACTACATAGCTATAGCTTTGAAATTGTGTTGAACAAAATTATGTATAATATGATTTATACTTTCATCCTGTTACTGTGACTGTAGCTTGATGCACGTACTATGTAAATTAGCGTTCTACTTTTACGAGATATCCGAGAATGGCTAAAAATGTTAGCCAAACGTTCATCGTTTTATATTTCATGTAAATTTATTAAATTAATATATTTATAGCTAAATAAATAATTGTTTAAAAACCTATTGTTACCTACAGCTTATTCTTTTAAATTATATTATCGAGAGTCCTATCTGTTTATTTTATTCATTACACAATTTCTAATTATAATTAATTCTTCACCGACAAAGTAAAATTTTCATTTTCTTCAATTGATTCATCTCATTATTCTGTACAGAAGTATCAAAATTATACGATTATGAAAAAATAAGTTTACGAAATATTTCATATTAAGTAATACATGCTAGACTAATGTATAAAATAACTCTAAAATTGATTTTCTGATATCTCCACCTCGATACTTTTATATAGAAGAATAATTAGAGGTATATCATATTGAATAAAAAAAATTATTTCCATTTAAAAAAATGATATAACTTTCATGTATCCTTGAAATATAGGTTTTTTCAAAAATTATTTTTACTTTATTTGTCCCCTTTCAAAACTTAGATGCGTTTCCAGTTACGCATAAAACTGCATTATTGTTATGCAGCGCTTTGAAATCGCTTTCTGCGAATAAAGCAAAATTTTTGCTTTAGTTATTCGGAACGATTTTCTGCGCGGTCCGCGCACATTAGTGCAAATTATAAAAATATTAAAAATGTTAAATATGTTTTTAATTATATTATTATGTCACATATGATAATTAGAATCCGACTGAAATTTTTGCCGAAACACTCGGCTATATGTCAATTTCAACCGAAACCGAAACAAAAATTAAAAAATAGGAATCCTGTAAAAGCTATGTGACAGGCACACATACCATATACTTTTTTCATAAATATCATAATTTATTGAAACAATAATTAAATTTCGATCAAAATAAAAAAACCGAAATTTCGATTGTGAGTCAATTTTGACCAAAGAATCTAAGTACTTCTTCATAAACATCAATAATTTAATTATTGAAACAATAATTCCACATTACAAACATATATCTATATAGATGTTTCGACTAATCTTCCAGATATTATTAATATCGCGTTTCAAAAAGACGATGATACAAGTTAACGTAAATTAATGGTTGTAAGGAGATCCATCACTCTTCCATGCAGTCCCATGGCACGTAATAAGTGTTCGTTTTCAGTTTCGATCGGACTCTAATGATAATATATAATATAATGTGTACAATATATATCTATATAATATAATTTTATTATTATTATATTGATATATTGTTATTATATATATTATATATATATATATATATATCTTCATTATATTTTCAATTATTATTGAAAAGTATTTAACATAATAACGTAATACATCAAACTTTAAAGATTGACTCTTAAACTTAAAACTTGTAATTAATTAAGATGAAATAAATTAATTATAATATAAAATATCTTTCAAGGTTTCAAATTGTCCGTTATTCATTTCGACTTCTTCTTCACTATAATATTCGTTCTTTTTCTTCTTTAGAACCTTTGATGAATTTCCCACTTTTTTTCTAAAGCAGTCAATGCACTGAAAAGAGTGCTAAGAGTTCAATATGAACAGTACAATCTAGGATAAGAAATTCTCAGCGCTACTAAAATACTTCCAATGCATACATTGGTCCGAATCGGAACGACTGTCTATGCGCTTCATATGTAGGAACGTATCCCTTATTATAACTTTTGTCTGAAATGGTTTTTCGTATCTTATTTTTATATATTTTTATATATTTTTCGAGATAGTTACTGGGAAAATTAAAATGGAACACTCTAGTACATATATAAAAATTATACATAAATATATTTATACATATATATATATATGTATATATGTTATTTATAAAGTTTACTCATATTTCAATTCATAACTATTTGGTGTTATCTCTATAAGATATAGGGTAAACTTCAATTTTAAAAATTAAAGTATCGTGCTGCAGAAAATCAGTTATGTCGCGCACACATATAAATTCCGTATAACCAAAACTACGTTTATTCAATTCACACGTGGGTTTTTGGAATGCCTCAAGATCTGGTATTGACGATGTCTTTTCATATATATTTTTTTCCGAATTTTGTGGATGTACCAACGCAAAAAACATTGTACCATTAAATGGCCAGTCCAAAGCGTCGTCATTTTCTGATTTCATAATATGTAAAAGAAAAGATAGATAATCGGGATTCTTTGATGATATATTAATCCTTGCACAGATCTTATATCCGTTTGGACTTGTATAAAAACCTGGACTATAGAACATTTTTTGAGGATCGTTTGTCATAGCATTGAGTTTTTCTTGGAAAGATTTCAGTCTCCATATATAAACTCCATTACAATTTTGTAGACACATAGCCGCGAGCTGATTTTTCTGATTAGATACTGTTATAGAGAGCTCCCGGTTTTCCTGTTCCAAAACTACTATTCTTTCATATAGATTTCTAAAAACAAAGTTTATATCTTTTATATGTATTTCAGCATATATAGATAATCTTTTTTAAGATCGTATTTAAATTACTTGAGCAATTGTTGCCAATCAGGAGAAGGCTCTTCCTTGTCTGCAACTTGTATCCTATTTTTTAGAGGTGGATCCCATAATTTTGATTCCACAGACATTGCATTAGTGCCATTTTGTACTACCAGACAATTATAACAATTAATTTTAAAAAATAAGAGCAAATTTGTATTACTTTGTATTAATTTGATTATATAAAATATACCTCGAGGCTCTGAAATATCTTGTTTATATGTGCATTGAATGATATGTGTTTCCATATCCACAGGAGACAATTTTACTTGACAACCAAATTGCTGATAAATACAACTTGTACGTTTCTGAGATATCTCTCTAGTAGTATAAAGATCTGGGAAAAGATTTTCAGATTTCAAAGGTCGACTATCAACTGGACAGCAAGCACCTTCTTTCCTAATAATTCATAATGACCAGTCAACTTACATACAACGGTAGAAACATGATTAACGAAATAAAATACAACTTACTTAAGCCAAGTATAAATACAATGAGAACAAAATTTATGGCCACAAGATGTTAAAACTGGATCGCGTAGCCATGTTAGACATATGGGACATTCAAATCTAGGTTCTACATAGCCTTTGATATTCTCCTCACACTGCATGCAACGAAATTATAAACGGATATTTACAAATAAATGATACACATTAATATAAATGTTAAAACGGATAAAAATACAAGATCGTGAGATAGTTTTGTTTGAACAAACAATAATTAATTTCTTATTTTCTATTTTACAAAATTGCAGATATTTACGTTTTCGCTTTCCTCGGCGACCTTAGGAGGTTCTACTGAATTGGCCTGAGTTTCCATAATCTACAAGTAGTTTTTTAGTCATTTTGTTTATAAATTAGATAACAATGTTTACAATTAGATAACAACATTTATGGAGGGTAATAAGATAATTATTGAGTTACCATACCTCTGATATTGATAAAATTAGACTTATTTGATGTTTTTGCACGAAATGAATCTGATAGATAAAAGTTTCGCACTGTTCAGCGAACTGAGATATTAATCGTTAAATTGACGACTATTCAGATTAGGAAACCTGAATAGTCGCCCTACCCACGAAATGCAGGATTCAGAATCAGGAACATGAGTTCGTGAGTCAATACACTGATTAGCAAATGCACGAAACACGACGAGAAACGAGAGGTCAGTAGCTAATAGCGAATGAAAACACCTGCGCTAGACGATCCCATGATACAAAAATTATGGGCGTTGTGTTCGTTTTCAGAATTTTCAAAATGCACTTAGGGTGAAATCACACGGAAAAGGTACGGAAAAGGGTTGCGGAATAGAGAATGCATTGAAACAACTAATTAGCGTTGTTAGGAATAACGCAGAAGAACGCTGATTGGTTGCTTCTATGACGCATTCTCTATTCCGCAGTCGTTTTCCGCACCGTGTGATTTCATTCTTAAGGAGTGTTCACACCTTAGCGGAAAAGCAGAAAGTGGAAAAGCGGAAGCCAATCAGAACTCGCGGAAAGACAGAAGCAGACAAGCGGAATGTATCGCTTACTACTACCGCGAGTTCCGATTGACTTCCGCTTTTCCGTTTTCTGTTTTTTCGTCAAGATGTGAACCCGGCCTTACGAGTCCGTATTCAGAACGCGCTTTTATCGATAAAATTCTATAGTATGCGTGACGTAAATTATAGCATGTTAGCGCGCTAATATTGTTGTAAGCGCATTCTAAATATGGGCCAAAGAATACAAGATACAGCGTGTAGCATTGCGTATAATAAGTCGGTATGTATTCATAGTCGATTCTTATTTCAAGACTGTCTTAAGTAATGTCTTAAAACGCTAATGCAGCCCTCTGATTGCGGTTCGTGACTTCTTAAGACCGTACTTAAAACGGTCTAGAATATAAAATTTGATTATGAATAGAAATAGCAATATTAGATGCTTTCCATTTGATAACACAAGTCGACACAAGCGTCATTCTATCCTTCTTGATTTTCAGAGAGTGACAAAGATAAAATTTGTGTTGACTTGTGTCGTCTTGTATCATCAAATGGAAAACATCCATTGCAAACAACCAATCAAATTTTATCCTATATGCACTTTCTTGAGAGAATCATTCCTGGACCTGTTGTAGTGCAACTGTTCTCATATGTTAATTTTGAGCATACACGTCGTACACTTTATTGGTACAACGATGACTGTGTTCCAAAATTGACTGCCAGTACTGAAAATCTATAGTGCACGTAACGTAAACTGTAGCATTTTCAGTGCTGGCAGTAATTTTGGAATACGGCCGAAGAATAGAAGATGTAAGATATTTACTGGCCCATATTCAGAACTTACATTTAACAGAGAAAGCAACTTTGCAACTGTTGCAAAATTTTCATTTCCAAGGATTTCGTCAAATTTCTTCGAGCGAGAAAGGAGTATAATAGACCATCTCACTTCTCCACCAATAGCAATGTGTATGCATGATGTATGCAAAATCTAATTGCATCGTTTGTATCAATTCAGACAATGCAGGAATAAGGAACAGATCTAATATCTATTACTACGTTTACACGGCACGCTTTATGCCGAAATTATAACATCAATGTTATGAAACTGGCCAATTACAGTCATTCCATTCTTCAGAAGAATAGCTATGATTGGCCAGTTTTATAACGTCGATGTATTAATTTTGGCATAAAGCATGCGGTGTAACAGAGGTCTATGATGCATATATATATATATATATATATATAAAATGTAATAATTAAATAATTTATTTTTTCCAAAATTTTGACTATTTTCCAACATATACAATTATTGTATATATGATATCAATAGAATTAAATAATTTCAATGAATAGCGTTTTCAAATTTGATGTACATTGCAATGCACAGATCTGAGATTAAATAATTAATTTCATAATTTATTACTTTTTTTATTAAATAATAAAAAATAAGGTAAAGTTTTTATACGATCGATGTTTATACTTGGTACTTCTGTAACTTTTAAGGACAAGATCGGTATCATTATATCTGGTATCATTATATTATCTTTACGCAGCTTTTTTACTACATATCTATAATACCTACGCAATAATAATAACGATATCAACACTGTTATTACAAATCGTATATGAAGGAAGTAAAACAATTTGCTCTCATTGTTACTATTTAAAGATCTAAAACATACAAATATTGTCGATTAGTATCCATTTGAATGTTCTCTATTTTTTCTCACCTTGTTCCAGTAAATGAAGATATTTTAATACGTTCACTTAATAATTAAATTTTAATAATTAAAAAACAGCATACATTTTTCCCGCTAACTTATATGCGATCTAGTGCAGAAATTGCTGAAAATACATCATGCAAACATGCAGAATTTCTAGCAGTAAACTGTAAATTTTTAAATACTTGACAAATTCTTCTGATTCTCTTATTAAATAATCCTATAGAGGTATGAGAGGTAATTCTAACACTAAAGGTACCGTCAATGCGATGCTATAAATGCTTTAATGCGTTTTTTAATTGGTCAATTTGCAAAATTCTTTCTTCTAATTGGTCCATTAAATGCTCAAAGCATTTGTAGCGAGACTTTGACCACAGCCTAAGTAAGCAGGACTGTAAGTACATAATGGAACATGTTTATGTTTTGTTACTGAATATACAGACATAGTATATTTCATATATTTTTTTTCCACAATGTATAGAAAATATAATAGTTTAACATACTTATAGCAAATACAAACATTAATTGGATGGATTATGTTGAAATTAATTATAAGTTTTTTCGAAACTTCTGTTTATTTTATTGCTTAAATTTTACTATATTGTTTTTCTTACTAATAAAAATGCATATATTTGTTTGATGTATTGTTATTATGTATATTTTTTATTATGATGTTGAACAAACGGGCATTGTCAATGGAAAAAACCCAGCATGAAAAAAGAGATTAGAAAACATAAAGATTTTGTTGCTGAAAGAAACGGATTCACATGAGCGTCATTTTATCTCATTCTTATCCGTTGTACCAGACGAGAAATGTTAGATAAGCCTCTATATTTTATTTATATTTACTATGATGCTGTCAATCATGATACGAATTTTACAAGTCATTAATAATTAAACGAACATTGCCCGAGTGAAAGCTACGAATTAAACAGACATGATCGAGCGGTCACAAGTTCGGCGGATTTATCAATCAGTTGATTCCTTAATTTCATACACACGCACATAGACTTATTACTTAATAATTTAAAATTCTCTTATTAATCAAGTGTGTACAAGAGGTGTATACAATAGCGGCGATTAGCAACTTTTATTTATTGAGCTAAAACAAAATTATATATAATTCCGACAATTGCATACGTATCAAAATAATTGATTTTATTTATAAAAATGTAAACGCTATTTACAAAAAGCTAAACACGCTGCTAATACAAATGCTAGTTTTGAATAGTTTTTATTTCTCGGATAAAAAAGACGATTGAAGAAAATATTCTATAAATATTCTATAAAATGTGCAAAAATTTTGATTATTATTGATGTATTTAATGTAATTTATAAATAAATTAAAAAATTATTTAATAACTTTTAAACAGAAGATTTACAGATCCTATAAAAATTGTAGAATTTAAAAAAAGAATCTAATTGAAGATTATATCTCCAATGTTAAATAAATATAATAAGTAAATTTAATTTTTTGTATAATATATTGCGATTGAAATGTGATACATCGTAATGCACAATTTTTATCTCACATTAACATTGACTGAATTATATTCACAGTTTCACATTATTACTATATCATTTTTCAATAATTTGAGTGCTAATCTTTAAGTAGTCATATCATTTTAAGTAGCTTATCAGGTTTACATTAAAATTAACTGACATAAATATAAATCATCCTTTGAGAAATACAAGTTTCAAAATTAAGAAAATGTGCTTTTGTGATGAGTTTTACATGACGACATCTAACTGAGAAAACTATATAAAAAATTTCTAAGGAAAAGAACTGGAGAAAGACTCAAGAGAAATGCATAAATCAATTGATTGGATTTTCTTCGCAAATAATTGTCACTTTCTGTATTTACTTTCGTCCATTAACCATGCAGTAATAATATATACATAAAACATTCATAATACTATTTTGTGTCACTATGAAATTGATAACGATTTCTAAATTGCAACATTTCTCTTAACTCATTATTTATTAGAAAGTAGCTAATTGCTGATTACACAAACAAAATAGTAAGTTAAAATATCAATCCAAAATAATAATTTTAATGTTAAAAATAGTAATAATTAAAATAATTTTTATTTCGTTAAATCTTAGATATAATCTCATATGTTATTTAATTAAATTTCTTAAATGAGTCTTGAAAAAATTTTTATTTCCTGAAACATCAATGTCGGTTTTAGGAATTTGATTATAAAATTTTGTTTGTATTACTTAATGCACTTGTATTTCGTATGATGAATTATTTATGAAGGCATGGAATTTTGTTTATCGTTATATCAATAGTCTTTGATAATAAATCATCTGTCATTTATCAAAGATGTCGGAATTGGTAACAAACATCAATCAGTTATCATACATATCGCATAAATATCATACGAAAACAAGTCTGAAATAAAAAAAGATTTTAAGATATTGAACTTTTAAAAAAATATTCGATACTGAGATGGATTTTTTGATGGTTTCATTTAAAATAATCTCAGAAAATTTAATTCTTAAACTTACTGTATTAGTTCGCAACATTACATTTTGAATAAATATTATCTGATATAAATATGTTTTTAATTTTTATAAATAATATGTAAACATAATAATATGTATTAAGATTAAGAGTATATTTTATAAAATTTAGGTAATTTAGGCATCAACCTAAAATATAATCTTATAGTGCAATTAATACAGTGTAATCCAAGAATTAAATTTTTGAGGTTATTTTTTTAAACTGAGTGGACTTTTTTATGAATCGACTGCATGATTTAAAATTAAGAAAATTTGAGTTACTGCTTCTTATTTTAATTAACCAATAGAGAGAATTTCAATTTATTTATTGATATAATACGTCATGTGAAGTTTAATTACACATGTACGAAATACGTTAATAAAATTATAAAATTAATAATTATATCACATTTATTCGATAAATAAATGCTATCTGTGACCGATTGTCACATAGTGAACGTTTGTTAAGCACGATGAAAGCACGCTTTAATTAGAAATCAAATCCATATTTATAAGATTTTTATTGTAAAGATTTCTATTTTCTTTATTTTTTTATGGCTTTTATGGCTATTTTTAGTTCTATCGTATATATTTTGCAATTATATTCTAAAAAAGAGAATATGTGGACATGTATATAGCAGCTGTAAAACGAAGCTATAATTACGCGCAAACGATGTCGATAAGACTAACGAGCAGTTCTCCACTCGCGGATAAAGAACTATTTTCG